TGCTCTTATGTGAACACTAGAAAAGATCACTTATGAGACAATAATCTAATAAACAATAAATCAAATACATAACACACGCAACAATAACATCTCATATTAGACTTTTTCTTTCCCTAAACCAAGTACGTAAGTATATAACCATACATTATCTAGAACCTATTAGGTTAAGTACCAAGCATAGATATTTGAGTATTTGTGTAGTTACCGAATCTAAGAAATTGTACTAAAAAATTTTCAAGTCAAGCATCAAATATGACTAATACCCGACCTTCACTCAAAAATGATCACCCCTAACTACTACAAAATAAGAGAATCCTACTAACTAAGGGTGAGCATTAGGTACGGATACACATGTTACTTATATTACCTTATCAATTTAGGTAAGTATTATATCAGAACTATAGAAAAAATGGATAAGTAATGGATATGAAAATAACATATCTATAAGTATCAAGCTGATTAATAAATATAAGAGTCCAAAACTATTTAGCCTACATGTTTAACCAATTTATTTAACTAATCAGTTATCTACACTTGTATAATTGAAATTTTAAACGTACTTATTATACTTAATATCTATATAACAACAATAATTTTTAAAAATAAAAATAATAAAAAACAAAAAATAAAAATAAAAGTTAAGGTTTATAAACAAAATAAATCATACACATAGCAATAACAACTTGTATAAATATAAACCTTAAGTTAAATACATAACACATGTAATAATATAATATTATACTAAACCTTTTCTTCTTTAAACTAAGTATGTAACTATATACCTGTAAGTTATTTGGTATTTGTTGAATTAAGTATCAAGTATAAATCTTTGAGTATTTTGATAAATACTAAGTCTGAAAAATATATTAAAAAATTTTTAAATTAAATACCAAATATAACTTATACCCAATTTATACGCGGAAATACACACCCTTACTACTAACTACTTGACAGATGCAGCCCGTTTCACACATGAGGCCCAAATCCTAGAAGAAGAAGCCCAAGCCTTATGTGAAGTATCTGCGTGACACAGTCCACGGGTTCGTCTTCGTCACCGCCTTATAACGAAAATAATATAAAAAAGAAAAAACATTAAAAATTAAAAATTAAAAACTGCTCTGTTTTCTGCTTCTGTTATCGCGTCTCCTCCAGGAGAAACGGAAAGAGAAAGATTGATCGGAAAAATCAATCAAGAGGAGGAATCGGAATCTGAATCTGAAAATGGCTTTGAAATTTCTGAACAAGAAGGGTTGGCACACCGGGAGTCTAAGGAACATAGAAAATGTGTGGAAAGCCGAACAGAAGCATGACGCCGAGCAGAAGAAGTTAGAAGAGCTCCGCAAGCAGATTCAAGAGGAGAGGGAGCGCTCCGAGTTTCGTCTTCTCCAAGAGCAGGCTGGCCTAGTACCGTACGTGATTTTTTTTTTTAACTTTGTGCGTTGTGATTAGGGTTAGGGTTTTATTCATTACTTACACCAATGCGATCTTAATTTTTGACAGGAGGCAGGAGAGATTGGAATTCCTTTACGATTCAGGACTTTCTGTTGGAAAGGGCTCCGCCAGCTCTAGTGGCGGCGGAGGAGGTGGAGGATTCAAGGCTCTTGAAGAAGCCCTTCCGACCTCCAAGCCCGCGGCTGATGCTTCTTCCAAGCAGTCACCTTCTGTTCCTGGGGCCTTGTTCGAGGACAAGCCCCACTCTGCCAACGACGCCTGGCGCAAGCTCCATTCTGATCCTTTGCTTTTGATTCGTCAGCGCGAGCAGGAAGCCCTTGCCCGCATCAAGAACAACCCTGTCCAGATGGCCCGTATTCGCAAATCTGTAAGTTCTTCTGGGTTCATTTCTTCACTAATCATCACTTAGGCAGCTCCAATTGTTCGCCTAGAAATCTCATTCTTTGAAAATTTGGATTTTAAACTGTATTAGAGTTACTACTTACTACTTGCTTATCTATATTTTGCCTTACGTACTTGTTTATACTTTGCCTTCTTTTCTTCTAGTGTCTCTGACTCTCTTGAGAATTACCTGTTATGGTTTGTATGGTAACTATCGTTGTTGATGATCAATGATCTATGTACTAACATCCTGTATGCTTTTAACAGGTTGAAGAAAAGAAAGAAAAGGACAAGCCCCATGATAAGAAGGAATCCCATAAGCACCGTAATAGTAGTAGTAGTACAAAGCATCGGAAGCATTCATCCCGAGCAGAGCAATCAGATTCTGAAGACGACACTTACAAGGTGGATGAAAGAAGAAAAAATGGTGATTATAAGAGCTCGCAGAGGCGCCATGATAGAAAACAGCCAGATTCAGAAAATGAATCTAGTGATAGAGAAAATCAAAAGAAGAGGCACCAGAAGGAAAAATACAACCATGATGGCTATGATGCTAACAAGAAGAACCTTGAAAAAGGGGAATATAGAAGGTCTCATGAATCACACCACAAACGCCGGGGGGTTGCTCCCAAACTTTCTGAAGAGGAGCGGGCTGCTAGGCTGCGTGAAATGCAAGAAGATGCTGAAGTTCATGAGGAGCAAAGATGGAAGCGGTTGAAAAAGGCTGAAGAGAATGATGCTCGGGAGGCTACCCGGGCTACCATATCTGATGGAAGAAACTTTCTTGATGTTGCTCATCGAAGTGTCTATGGTGCTGAGAAGGGGGGAAGCTCCACAATAGAAGAGAGTGTCCGTCGCAGAACACATTATCTGCAAGGCAGGTCTGAATCAGAAGGCAATGCTTTTAGGCGGCGATGATGTTTTAACCTACTTGTTTTTTAATTGGATAATATTTCTGATAATCCAGGTGTGCTTCTCCACCTTATTCCATTGTGTCTAAGTCTTGTTTGGTATTCATACGCCACTTTGTCAGGATGAATGACTGATGTTGTGTATAAGTTATTCACAAAATATGATTGATCTTTCACCTGTAAACTATGGTGAAAGAAATTTTAATTTTATTTTCTTGTTATGTAAAGAAATTTTAAATTTTTAATGTCTCAATTGTGCTATTACATTTTATTCTGGTAGCATAGGGTGGGTGTTTACAAACTTATTCCGAGATGACTAATTGAGAATGGGCCAGATGGACAAAGATTTTGATCCAACAATAGAAGTTTTAGTTGGTCAGGATAGCTACTAACTACATAGCCATTATTTCAACCTAATTAGTGGTTGCGTACTTGTATTTGTTGAGAGAATATAAGATTGGGGACCTTTGTGCAATCCAACCTGAAAAACCTGGAACTCTACTATACTCGAGAACAACCAGTATAACTAATAACAGCTAGCTTTCCAAATGTCAACTATATTGAAAATTATAAGCCGATGTAATTGAATTGGCGTTATGTATAGATGTACTACAGCAATCTCAAATGATTCATTCTGGCTGTGGTCTCCATCACCTCCATAAGGTCCGGCTTTGTCATCAAGAAAAAGGTTCTCTGGAAGGCCGGGGTCAACAGTACCTGTGCCAGTAAGTTCTCTCCTTTTTCTGCCTTTAGGTGTCTCCATTCTGATGAATTATGCTTACCCCTTTTTGCTTTTATGCGCGTAAGGTTCTGATGGATGTGACCACTTGTTGGAGCCACTCTGGTGGATTGGCATGGTCACAAGTAACCCGTTTTCCTACTTCTAAAAGGTTCAAGCCTTTCTTATGGATACAAAAAAACTGTCACAGATTATTAAAATTGGGAAAAGGAAAGTTTAAGTCTTTTTATGGTGGTTAGCTGCAATTATTTATATGAGTAGTTTTAATTTGACAGTGATTGTCGGGGAGATAGCCAATCTTGTTGCATACATCTATGCACCGGCTGTGTTGGTAACCACACTCGGTACATTGAGTATCATTGTTAGGTAATATTGGTTTCTAGTAGCTTTTGAATTTTTGTTAATTCACTCATGCAACTAAATTGGGAATTTCTGATGAAGTGTGAACTTCCTAAAGAAATGGGTAGGCAGTGATGATGTTTTAACCTACCTTGGTTTTTCTGGCATAATATTTCTGATAATCCAGGTATGCTTCTCCAACTTATTATATTGTGCTTTTAAGTTTTATTCACTATTCAGACACCACTTTGTCAAGTTGAATGACTGATATTGTGAGCTAAGTTATTCACTGAAAATTGATCTTTCAGTTTCAAACTATGGTGAACGAAATTTTAAACTCTTAATATGTCTCCATTTTGCTATTACATTTTATTCTGGCAGCACAGGTTGGTGGTTACAAACTTATTCCGAGATGATGGGCAGATGGACAAAGATATTGATCCAGCAATAGAAGTTTTAATTGGTCAGGATGGCTGCTAACTGCAAAGCCATTATTTCAACCTAATCAGTGGTTGTATTTGTTAAGAGAACAGAAGATCTGCATGCTTTTTAGACATGGTTATATGTAAGTTGTAAATTAGACAACAAAGCCATGATTTCAACCCAATCAACGATTGGATTTGTTGTGGGAACGGAAGATTTGGGGACCTTTGTGCCTGCCATTTATATGTAACTTGCAAGGTAAATGTAGTTCAGTTGGTTCTTGAATGCTTCACAACCTTAGTTTGTTGGACTTGGAAATTGGAACCAAATTGGCCTAGTTGGAGGTTTTACCCCAGTGATGCTTGTTTTACAACATAACAACACCAGACACAGGAAGGGGTATGATTTCAGGTTACGACATTCCTCAAGCTTCAATTACTTTAGGAAGAAAATAAGGAGAAAGTCCTAGCATAGTACTCTTATCAAACTAGCCTGGAAATGCTGGCATTTATCATGTTTGGATGGTAGAAAACGGAAATGGAAGTTCATGAACAACTATTCCAACTCAGAAGTGCAAGTTTTTCGTGCTATTGAGGCTGATTTCAGTGATGGAACCCTGTGGTTTGGTAAGCCAAAATCTTCTCCTGTGTCTATGGCACTTTCCTTGAACTAGTGATTTGCTAAGCCAAAATCTCCGGCGTAGTAGCAGGCAGTCGTAAACAAGTGACCTTATTTTAAAAATAATAAATAAAAATAAAGTGCCTTGGACAGGGGCAGTACCATCGTAGCTCCCTTCTTTGTGCAGCTAGTCATTTTTGGATAAACCAAGCTCCACATCTTGTGCACCAAAAAAAAGGTCGGGTTTGGCACTTGCCCCTACATCTTTCGAAAATGCAAAAGCAGAAGTGTTGTCGAATGTTTTCTTAGAGGACATCTCCAAAAATTTCATATTTCAATTAATATGTTTAATAATTAATTATTAAATTGAAAATTTAATTTATGTAAATTATATAGGTTAGTTTCTAAATTAATTTAGTATATTTAATTAATTTATTGATTATATAAAATTAACATTATTAAAGATATGTCACTGATTAGAGTTTTTTTAATTAAAAAATTATAAATGTTTAATTAATATAAAAATTAATATGTATAATTTGTATAAGGACCATGATTCATGCACACCTCGGTTCAACACCTGGGGGTGCATACTCTACATAACCAAATAATTTTAAAAGTATAATTATAAATTTACCCTTTTCTTTTCTTTTTTTTCTCTTGGGTTTTCGAGAGAACCCAGACCTGGGTTCTTCTCAAAGACAGGAGAGCCTAGTCTGGGTTCTTCTCAGAGAAACCTATCTAGGTTCTCTTCTTCTCTCTCGATTCTTCTCCTTTCTGTAGATCTAGACCATCTCCTTACATCTCATCATCATCACAACCTCCACCTCCATCACCATCCTCAATCACCACCGAAATAGAAGGAGAGGGTTTTTTTCCTCTCTCTCGGTATGGGTTCTCCGAGAACCCACCTCTTGTTCTCTCTCAATTCTTCTCCCTTCTGTAGATCTAGACCATCTCCTTGCATCCCATTATCATCACAACCTCCATCTCTATCACCATCCTCAATCACCATCGAAATAGAAGGAGAGGGGCAGAACCATAGATCCCTCTATTTTCCATCACCATTGTCACCATGACCACCATCATCATCATCGCCAAGCAGCCCCAAAAAAAAAAAATAAATAAAAGGGTGAAGTAGATCTGGTTTCGAGGAAGGAGAAGAGTTCGACAGCTAAAAACACCAGACAGAAAGGGTTCAGGAAGATGGAGAGACAAGAAGAAAAAGAGGTATTGAGAGGAAGATGACTTTTAAGGTTAAATTTGTAATTTTATTCTTAAAATTATTTGGTTATGTAGAATGTGCACCCTCAGGTGTTGAACCGAAGGGTGTACAAAGCATTTTCCTTTATATAAATAAAATTTTTAATTT